GATGCTGATGTGTGTCCTTCTGCTGAATCTTTCATCAGGTCATTCCACCAGGCATGGACTTCAGCTATGTCACAATACAAGACACAGTGGAAGGTGAGGGGGATCTCAAGTCACTCATTGGATCTAACAGAGCTCAAAGCAAAATGAACTTGCCTCCAATTTGGTCTGAGGTCTTACAATCTTCCCTCCAGTCACCATTTTTTCACTACAGCAATTCTTGCATAGCATTAGCACATTGCTTATAAGCACAACAAATGAAAAACTGAGTTGTGTTTTGCCATGCAGATAATGAGATTTTTCACAAATCCTCACAAACCAACAATATTAGCCTTGTCACGCCCTGACCCTAAGAAAAATGTCATGACTTTGCTCAAGGCCTTTGGGGAATGCCAAGCCCTAAGGAAACTAGCTAACTTAGTGAGTTTTCCATTTCTGTTTGAAAAACAAAATGTAGATTTGTCATATGATTATCAGCTTGTGATCGAGTGACATCTTTCTACTCTTGTGGCAGACCCTCATACTTGGCAACAGAGATGACATAGAAGAAATGTCTAACAGCAGCTCTACTGTTCTTACCATGGTGCTCAAGCTCATTGACAAGTATGATATGTATGGTCAGGTTGCTTACCCCAAACATCACAAGCAATCTGAAGTTCCAGAGATATATCGTCTCGCTGCAAAGACAAAGGTGCATTCTTTGAAGTAAACTTGAAAACACCTAATTATGTATTGACTTTGATAGGATGAGAAATCAAGTCTTTGGTGGTATAAATAAACTACTTAGAGGAAAATAGCAATATTTCAACTTGATAGGCAAAGCAGAGAAAGCAGGCTACATTGATGAAAGTATAAAAACTCAAATTCAAAATACTTGGAGCTTAGTTCTCAGTCCTATTGAAGTCATTTGTCAAATAATCAAACCAAAAATGTCTTGATTGTTGTCTGGACAGCTAATCTGACTTTATCTGCCTTGTCTTTTTGGAACATTACATTTGCTAACAGTAACACAGTGGTTTTGTCTCTTGAAGGGAGTTTTTATCAACCCTGCCCTGGTGGAACCATTTGGTCTCACACTAATAGAGGTAAATCGCTGAACTAGATCTTAAGATGTTAATTTTCAGATGGCTAATAGGGTCAGTGACATTCAGCTTATGAAATATGATTTACTCAATTCACTATATGGCAAATTACATTGTTTCCTTGGTCTTCCCCCATTTCAGGCAGCAGCTTATGGTTTACCTGTTGTTGCAACAAAAAATGGAGGGCCAGTGGATATTCTAAAGGTATAGTATAAATTATAAATCCATTTTCTCCCATTTTTACTTCTCACTTACTACACCTTTTATTTGTTTTCTCTTTAAAGTATATATTTATTTATGTTAGTTCATCATGTGTTACACATCATTGCAGGCACTCAACAATGGACTCTTGATTGATCCACATGACCAGAAAGCCATAGAAGAGGCACTCCTAAAGCTTGTTGCAGACAAAAATCTTTGGCTAGAATGCCGCAAAAACGGCCTAAAAAACATCCATCGTTTTTCATGGCCTGAACACTGCCGCAACTACCTCTCCCATGTTGAACATGGCAAGAACCGCCGCTCCACCTCCCTCTTGGAAATTACACCAATTGCTGAAGAACCAACAAGTGACTCATTGAAAGATGTAGAAGACATTTCTTTTAGATTCTCCACGGAAGGGGACTCCAAGCTGAATGGAGAGACGGACCCTGCAGCAAGGCAGAAACAGATTATTGAAGCAATCATGAGCAGGGTCTCTTCCACTGGCAATTCTAATAACAGTTACTTCCCTGGTAGGAGGGAAAGTCTTGTGGTAGTAGCTGCTGATTGTTATGATAATGATGGAAACTTGGCTAAGGCTTTTCAGACCATCATATTGAATGTAATGAAAGTCGTGCGACCAGGCAGAATTGGTGTGGTGCTGCTTACTGGTTTAAGTTTACAAGAGACAATTGAAGCATTGAACGGCTGCCAAGTGAACATAGAGGAATTTGATGCTGTGGTTTGCAACAGTGGAAGTGAAATGTATTATCCATGGAAAGATTTAATGGCCGATGCTGATTATGAGGCCCATGTTGAGTATGCTTGGCCAGGTGAGAATATTAGCTCAACAATACCAAGGCTTGCTAGAATTGATGATGAAGAGGAGAACGACATTGTAGAGTGTGCAAGTGCTTGCAGTTCAAGGTGCTTATCCTATAGTTTGAAAACAGAAGCCAAGGTAAGATAACAGGTTTCTTTTCTTAAATATTGTAACTTAAAATAGAGACAACGGTTAATAAGTGAATTTTAAGCCTAATTTAATCTCATAAAACCGACTTGTAAGGTAAGTTTGTACCTACTTATATACTATAAATTAGCCTTTCGATGTGAGACTTCCAATATATCCCTCATGCCGAGGTATAAACATATCGAACGTAAAACTAGATATTAATGGATGATTCGATAACGAGTGGAACAATATGTTCACACAAACCTCGTTAAGATAGACTCTTACCTGGCTCTAATACGATGTTAAGAAATGAACTTTAAGCCTAACAAGATCCAAGTGAATGGTTAAACTTTTAAATGTTGTAACTTTTTAAAGTTGTGATGACAATTTGCAGACCCGGAAGATAGATGAGCTGCGGCAAAGGCTTCGAATGAGAGGCTTACGTTGTAACATTGTCTACACGCATGCAGGAGGGAGATTGAATGTGGTACCACTGTTTGCTTCAAGAAAGCAAGCACTAAGGTGAGGAGGAACATTGCTGATTCTTCCCAACACAACATATATAGGAACTTCAAATGCTGATAAAACTACATGTGAAACTTATGATGTTGTTGTTATTGTGTATGCATTTAGGTACCTGTCAGTTAAGTGGGGGATTGATCTAGCGAAAGTGGTTGTATTTGTGGGAGAAAAAGGAGATACAGATTATGAAGAACTCATGGCTGGCATACAGAAGACAGTTGTTCTGAGAGGGGCTGTTGAATGTGGCAGTGAAAGGCTTCTTCGGAGTGAAGACAGTTACAAAAGAGAAGATGTGTTCTTCCAAGATAGCCCCAACATTGTTTATGCAGAGAAGAGCTATGAGGACTTTGATATTTCAGCAGTTCTGGAGCATCTCAAAGTATCATGATTTCTGTTTTGGTCACTGTTTCTAAATGTCACCATAAACATAGAAATAACTGCAGTATACATAGTACAATGTATACCTCAGCTTCAATAACACACAACAAATACATCTTCAATTTGGTTTTTCACTTTATCATATACTTTTGGGACTCACTGATGCTTTACTGAAAAAATAAATGTGCAAGTAATTATTGATATATAATTAAAATTAGATTGATTATATTTTTAATCTGAAAACTTTAAATTTGAATTTAGTTGCTATTACAAACTTTGTAACACTTTCATTCTATATTTTATAAATCAATTTATAACATTTTCATTATAACATAAAATATTTTATGATATAATAAATGGTGTCATTGACTTTCAATGACATCTTACATTTATTTATAAATTACCAAATAAAATTGGTACAAAATTTATAATATACATGACACTCAGTTTTTTTTTTCAAGTTTAGAGATTAAAAAGTAGAATTAACCTTTAAAATTATTTATACAATTAATAAAAGTAATGTTAATTATTTTAAGGAGACAAAAGTTCAAGAAAATTTTAGAAGAACAAAATAGCCAAATTGGTGAAAGATATATTTAGGTTAACTTTTTATAAATTATAAAAAGAAATGCTAATTAAATGTTTCCAAATGACACTGTTTTTGTAGGAAGGAACGATTCAGAAAATAATGAAATTTTGTTGACATTTGGCATGAAAATTAGGTCATCAATTGTGCTATTGGTTTCGGTCGTCTCCTTCAAAGTAACTCCAGAAAGAAACGAGACGAAAGGATCGGCGATTTGATAAAAGCGAGAATGATGATGCGAAGCTCAAGATCTAGAACGGGAAGAAGACCGTTGAAGCTTCCTTCGCGGAGCCTCATCGTTGTCTCTCTCGCCATCTTCGCCATTCTTCCTCCAATTTTCTTCCATTTTCGCCTCCGACGCTTCCACCAGGTTCCATTCCCCTCTCACTCGCTCTACGCTAATCTGAATTTTTCATAAACTACGTTGTTTTCGTTTTCTTATGTAATTCATCATTATAACTATAGCTGCGCCGCAGATTCAACTCATGAAGTGCCGTTGGCTCAACAATCCTCCTCTCATCTGTGCGCACGGTGGCGATTCCTCCAAGGCTTCTCCCAACACCGTAGCCTTCTCTCTCTCTCTCTCTCTCTCTCTCTCTCTCTCT